AGAATATGGAATAAAATCCATGGCATAATCCTGCTCCCTTCTCCAGAAGTTGTGTAGAGATTATTTCAGTTGCTTTCACTTTTTTCCCCTATACAGTTTCACATAAGATACCTTATAAGAAGACAGTAGCCCCTCTCAATGGCCCTTTGTATGCATTAAAGGCTTAGCTCAAGTGAGCATTCTGAGAGAGCTTTGAAGCTTGGATAGCACTTCTGTGGCAATTGCAGGATTTTTCCTTAATGGGAGGTGTGCTAAGCTCTTTGCTTCAATCACTTGGGCCGGAAAGCTATGACAGAAGCTATAGGGATTGTAACTATCTCTAGTGTGAAGCCCTTTCTGTGCTCAGAACCTGAACTACAGATTAGCTGAAAAAGGAGGAAGTGAGAGGAGATAGAGTGGGGAGAATGCTTCTTGGAGCCCGCCCTGTGACTGCTATTCTAGCCTCCCTTCCCCAAAGTGGCTCGTATAATTACTTCAGTGAAATAACACCATGACTGAGACAAGCTTGCCCTACTGTCCGTTCAGGCTACCTGCATACTAGTAAGTTAGCTGGTTACTGTTTCTTGAAAGCTGGCAAAGGACGTGAGACTGCAGGGTCAGAGACAAAGGACTTTATTAATCACAGCAGAGCAGGCCGCGTGAACATTTATACTTGGGATGGTTCCCTTCTCCCCGAGTCCCATGGAGGTGAGGTGGAGGGGCTGGTGGAAAGCTGCAGATTCATTGAGTATGTTCCAGGAGAGGGACATTGAACTTGGGGAAGCCACTGTTTTTTATAGTAAGAGGTAAGCAAGCTTGCTCTTTGTCCTTGAGGGATATATTTCCTCTTCTCTCAGCATTGTTCTGCAAACATAACTCTGAGAAATGATCTGGGTCCTGGCAGTTACTTATTGAAGAACATGAATCATTTGTAAAATTTTCCATTCTGGAATTTGCTGAATGTAACCCTGTAATGTCATTTAACACGTTCCTCTGTCCCTTTATTTTCAATAAATCTGAAGCAGTGGGCAGAACGTAATGGTAAGGACTCAAGAGTCAGACTGCTGGAGTTCATTTCAGCTCTAGCACTTACAGCATGTATCATCTTAACCCATCTGTGCCTCAGTTTTTCTTTGTATAAAATGGAAATAATAATAGTACTGACTTTGGAGGATTGTTGTAAAGATTAACAGAGGTGGGACACATAACATTTTTAATGTTGCCTGGCACCTAATACATGGTCTAATGCCAGTGGTAATAGCAGTTATTTATTTATTTAAGAGGTAGGGGAAATTCTACCTATTCTTCAGTATAAGTGAAATGGTCAGATGGAGGATCCCTTAGGAGGTCTGTCTCATCCCTGTCACCTCCCAACTCTAACTTTTTGTTTCAGTGTGTAAGTGCCTGTTAACTACCTGTCCGGTGGTACTCCATGCACATTAATGCTGGGCTGGAATTGAGGATTCAGGAGCTCCTACGTGGACAAAGACAACATTTAGAATCAATGCAGCTATCAAAATGTGTATTTTTAAAAATTACTTTATTGTTGAGAGTATTACAGTATCCCCCCATTATTCCTCCCCATTGCCCTCCTCCACCCAGATCCTGCTCCGCTCCAGACCTTACCACCCTGGTGTCTTTGGGTAATGCATGCATGCATATAAGTTCTTCAGTTAATCTCTTCCTACTCCCTCCATCCCCCTTCCCTCTGAGATTGGTCACTCTGTTCCATGTCTCCATGCCTCTACTTCTATTTTAGTCATCAGTTTATTTTGTTCATTAGATTTCTTGTTCATTTATTTTGATTTTTAGATTCAATTGTTGATAGATATGTATCTTTTGCCATTTTATTGATCATATTTTTGGTCTTTTTTTTTCTTCTTAAAGAAGATCCTTCAGCATTTCATATAATATTATTTTGATGGTGATGAATTTTGTCTGTGAAGCTCTTTATCTGACCTTTAATTCTAAATGAGAGCTTTGCTGGGTAGAGTAATCTTGGTTGTAGGTAATTGCTATTCATCACTTTGAATATTTCTTGCCACCCCCTTCTGGTTTGCAAAGTTTCTTTTGAGAAGTCAGCTGACAGTCGTATAGGAGCTCCCTTATAGGTAACTGCTTTTCTCTTGTCTTTAACCTTTGGCATTTTAATTATTATGTGTCTTCTTTGGACTTCTTGTTTGGGACTCTCTGCACTTCCTGGACTTGTAAGTCTATTTCTTTCACGAGGTAGGGGAAGTTTTCTGTCATTATTTCTTCAAATAGTCTTTCAATTTCTTGCTCCCTCTCTTCTCCTTTTGGCACACCCATGATGCGAATGTTGGTATGCTTGACTTTGTCCCAGATGCTCCTTACACAATCTTCACATTTTTGGATTTTTTTTGCTCTTCTGATTGGGTGTCTTTTTGCTTCCTCTTATTCCAAATTTTGATTTGATTCTCAGCATCCTCTATTTGACTTCTGATTCCCTGTAAATTATTCTTCATTTCAGTTAGTGTATCTTTCATTTCTGACTGGTCTTTTTTCATGTCTTTGATGTTCTCACTGAGATCCATGAAATTCTCACTAAGTCCCTTGAACCTCTCATTAAGATCCTTGAGCATCCTTATAACCATTATTGTTTTTTGTTAATCCTCACCTGAGGATAGTTTTCCATTGATTTTTAGGTAGAGTGGAAGAGAGAGGGAAAGACAGAGAGTAACATCAATGTGAGAGAAACACATCGATTGGTTGCCTCCTGCAGGGCCTGGGCCTGGGAGGAGCCTGCAACCAAGGTATGTGCCCTTGACCGGAATCGAACCTGGGATGCTTTGTTCTGCAGGCCAATGCTCTATCCACTGAGCCAAATCAGCTAGGGCTAACCGTTGTTTTGAACTCTTTATCTAGTAGTTTGCTTGCTTCCATTTCATGTAGTTATTTTTCTGGAGGTTTCTTCTGTTCTTTCATTTGTGGTACTGTTTTTTTGTCTCCCCATTTTGGCTGCTTCCCTGTGTTTGTTTCTATGTATTAGGTTGAGCTGCTATGTCTCATGGAATTGGTAGAGTTGCCTCGTGTAGTAGGTGTCCTGTAGGACCCAGTGGCTCAGCCTCCTCAGTCACCTGAGCTGGGCACTCTAGGTGCACCCCTGTGTGGGCTGTGTGTACGGTCCTGTTGTTGTTGAGCCTTGATTGCTGTTGACATCACTGGGAGGAATCGACCTCCAGGCCAATTGGCTGTGAGGACCTGCTTCAACTGCAGCAAAAGAATTGCTGTGCCAGAGATACCCCTATGGAGCAGGACTTGCTTCAGTGGGGCTTTGGTGCTCACTGAGTCTGCCCCTGAGTGCGTTGCTCTTGGATGTGGTAAAGTTATAACCTGGTGTTGTCTGAAGTTCTCCACTGGGTGTACTGGCACTGGGGCCTCCTGGGAGGTACAAAGTCAGTCACTGCCTGTGCTCTGTTGGGGCCACCCAGCATGAGCTACAGAGTGATCTCCAGATGGGTGCTACTTGTGTTGGGCTTGGAGATACTCAGGAGAGGCCAAGCTGTGAACCTTGGTAAACTACTGCTAGTGCCGGGCCTGGGCCACTTAACTTATTGAGAGGTATGGGGTACATTGAGTCCAGCTGCTGGTTCTTTGAGAGATCTTAGGAAAGTCTGAAGTTTGAGCCAGAATAGGTTATTCATATGGAAAAGACACTGTGAAGACTTTGGGTGGGGCTGCAAATTGGGTGGGGCAGGATCTCAGGGAATCACCAGGGCAGGGTAAACAGCAGTGGTTCTCAACCTTCCTAATGCCACGACCCTTTAATACAGTTCCTCATGTTGTGGTGACCTCCAACCATAAAATTATTTTCGTTGCTACTTCATAACTGTAATTTTGCTACTGTTATGAATCATAATGTAAATATCTGATATGCAGGATGTATTTTCATTGTTACAAATTGAACATAATTAAAGCATCGTGATTAATCACAAAAACAATATGTAATTATATATGTGTTTTCCGATGGTCTTAGGCGACCCCTGTGAAAGGGTCGTTCGACCCCCAAAGGGGTCGCGACCCACAGGTTGAGAACCACTGGTAAACAGTGATAGAGACTCAGATATGGTGCCTGCCAGTCAGCTCTGTGCTGGGGAGGTCCTAGCACTTTTGTCTGTTCTTGTCCTCATGTTTAGTTCCTCCCATATGTCCCTGGATCCTTTCAAGCTGCTTCCCCAGCGCTGGAGCTCAGAGGGAGTGAGTCCGAGTAAGTTCATGCACAGGCCCTTTGAGAGGAACTGCCTGGGACTCTAGCAGCCTCTGTGTCACTCAACCACAATCCTCGCTTGTTTTTATAGCCCAAAGTTATGGGCTCTTCTCTTCTTGGCGCTGGAACTCTGAGGTGGGGTTCTGGGGTGGGGCTGGAACCCTTTGCTCCTCACAGGAGGCCTCCTTAGCCAAGATATCCCTACTGATTAAAAACAGGCCACATGCCCTAGCCGGTTTGGCTCAGTGGATAGAGTGTCAGCCTGTGGACTGAAGGGTCCCAAGTTTGATTCTGATTAAGGGTACATGCCTGGGTTCCGGGCTTGATCCCCAGTAGGGGGCATGCAGGAGGCAGCCAATCAATGATTCTCTCTTATCATTGATGTTTCTATCTCTCTCTCCCTCTCCCTTCCTCTCTGAAATCAATAAAAATATATTTTAAAAAAATAAAATAAAAACAGCCACATGTGGGTGTTGGACCAGCCTGTTCCATGCTTCCACCCCTCCTACCAGTCAGTGCGCTTTCTTCTTTAATTTTCTAGTTGTAGGGCTTACATTCAGCCAGATTTCAGGCAGTTCTGAATGATGGTTCTGTATTTTAGTTGTAATTTTGATGTGGTTGTGGGAGGATGTGAGTACTGGTATTTACCTACTTTAAAATGTGTAATTTCAAGATATTAAATATTTTAAGAATAGGATGCTTATAATTTGAAAAAAATTATTCTGGGTTAGGAATAAAAAACTGTTCAATTACAAATTAACTGAGAGCCTCTCCTGATTTTCTATCCCTTTAGTGGCCTCATTGGGCGAAGCTGGGCTATGTTGTTTGCCAGTGGAGGCTTCAGGGTGAAACTGTTTGATATTGAGCAACAGCAGGTAACAAACGCCCTGGAAAACATCAGGTGAGTCAGCTGGCATGTTGGTAGGAATATTGACTCTGTTACTCTCAGTGGGTCTTATTTATCACACTCTTAAAGCCATCGTCATCTGTGACTTCACTCTTTCACTTCAGTTATAGTGCCATTGAGCTGGTAAAGCCAGGCCTATAATGGTAGAATCGTCAATTAATAAGAGGTTCATATTGTGAGGAAAGGACTCAGGGTTGTAAAGATGTATAATGGGAGTAAGGGAACTCAATGTGGATCTCAGGCTTCCAGCCTGAATAAATCTGTAAACCTTTGCTGTGTCCCACAGGGCTGCAGGCCATAGCAAGGGTATCCTTGCTTCTCTCTGGGTCAGCGAGCTGGTTTATATCATGTGAGAGCCACAGCTACATGGGCATTACATTTTTGGAACAGAGGTCCTGAGGTTTGTTTTGACCTATTGATCTAATGACCGCAGGACACAGTTTAACTGTGATAACTCTAGTAGTTAAAGTTGTGAGAGTAGATGAGCTTACCAGATGTTGAGAGGTGAATTTTAGGCATAACCAAAGGGGGCAGAAGAAGAATAGGAGCCAAACGAGAAAGGACGAGAATTAGGAGGTCCAAAATAGAAGAATCAAGCTAATGCAGTGTGCCAGATGGCAAGGCCCCACCTGAGATGATGGTCACTGAACACAATTTGACATCTCAGATGTTGTTTTATTCAGGTGATTATTATCTGTCTTTGGGGGCTATCCATGGATATGTAACTTGAATTTGCATTTTTTTTGGTAACAGAAATATTCTTTATCATTTACTTTCTGAAAAGACCAATATATAGGGTATGCTGTCAGGCTATAGGCATCAAGAAAAATATAGGTATTGCCCTAACTGGTTTGGCTCAGTGGATAGAGTGTCGGCCTGCGGACTGAAGGGTCCCAAGTTCGATTCCGGTCAAGGGCATGTACCTGGGTTGTGGGCACATCCCCAGTAGTGGGTGTGCAGGAGGCAGCTGATTGATGTTTCTCTCTCATCGATGTTCCTAACTCTCTATCCCTCTCCCTTTCTCTCTGTAAAAATCAATAAAATATTTTAAAAAAAGAAAAAGGCCCTAGCCGGTTTGGCTCAGTGGATAGAGCGTCGGCCTGTGGACTGAAAGGTACCAGGTTCGATTCCGGCCAAGGGCACGTGCCCGGATTGCAGGCTTGATCCCCAGTGGGGGCCGTGCAGAAGGCAGCCAATCAATGATTATCTCTCATCGTTGATGTTTCTATTTCTTCCTCCCTCTCCCTTCCTCTCAATAAAGAAATATATTTAAAAAAAATAAAAAAAGAAAAAGAAAAATATAGGTGTCAAATACAAATATTTGAGCCTAATTCGGTTGTATAACAGATAAAGAACCTGAAATCCAGAGAAGTCAGATTGCTTGTTACATACAGTGACATGTAGCCAATGTCAGGATAAAATGTCAATCTAAAAAAACCCGAAAACCCCAAAATGAAACAACTACTATATAGCTACCCCCTTTATTCTGTACTGCTATGGAAGGAAGAGGAATTGACATAAATACCTACTACATTCCAGGCATGTGCTATTCACTAAGGATACACAGAGGAACAAAACAGATATAGTCCTTTCCACCATGAAGCTTATAGTCTAGTAATCTTACCATATTAATTCTCATAGCAAACCCTGTGAATCAGATATTATTGCCATTATTTTATGAGAAAAATTAGGTCTATAAATGGTCAGTAACCTGCTCACAGACCCAGTAAGACACAAGATTCTAGCCCTGGTCTATGTACATGTTAAGGGCGGGTCTGAGCTCTTCAGTATCCATTTATACTATTTGCTTTATAGAGATCCTGCAAATACTACTTTAATATAATATGTAATATATGCAACCAAGTAGATCATTTATGCTAGTTTATGAAGAATATAATAAATTATCTAACTTGACATCTAGAATATTATCAATACCCTGTGTGCATCTCATGGGTTTGACTCCCCTGCCTTTTCACCAGAAGCAACAAATATCCTTTATTTTGTATTTACTATTAACTTGCCTTAAAAATAGTTATATATATAACCAAACAATATATGATTTATTTTTGCTCATTTTTGTGGTTTATAAAAATATTTTTGAGATTCATCCATGTTATTGCTTATAGCTATAGTACATCTGTTTTCATCTTCTATAATAATAAAAGTGTAATATGCTAATTAGACTGGACAACCGAATGACCTTCCAGACGTCATTCCGGACATCCTTCCAGATGAAGTTGTGGTGGCGGGGGCCGAGACAGAGGCGGTTAGGGGTGATCAGGCAGGCAGGCGAGCAGTTAGGGGCAATAAGGCAGGCAGGAGAGCCGTTAGGGGCAATCAGGCAGGCATGCAGAGTGGTTCGGGGCAATCAGGAGGCAGGCAGAGGGGTTAGGGGCGATCAGGCAGGCAGAATGGTTAGAGGTGATCAGGCAGGCAGGCGATCAGTTAGGGATGATCAGGCAGGCAGGCAGAGGCGGTTAGGGGCAATCAGGCAGGTAAGCGAGCAGTCAGGGGCGATCAGGCAGGCAGAGTGGTTAGGGGCGATGAGACAGGCAGGCGAGCAGTTAGGGGCAATCAGGCAGGCAGGCGAGTGGTTAGGGGTGATCATGCAGGTAGGTGAGTGGTTAGGGGCGATGAGGCAGGCAGGCAGAGGGGTTAGGGGTGATGAGCAGGCAGGTGAGTGGTTAGGGGCGATGAGGCAGGCAGGCAAAGGGGTTAGGGGCGATGAGTAGGTAGGCAGAGTGGTTAGGGGCGATCAGGCAGGCAGACAGGAGAGCGGTTAGTAGCCAGCAGTGCCAAATTGTGAGAGGGATGTCTGAATGCTGGTTTAAGCCTGATCCCTCAAGGGGTCCTGGATTGTGAGAGGGTGTAGGCTGGACTGAGGGACCCTCCTCCCCCCTGCATGAATTTCGTGCACTGGGCCTCTAGTTGCTATATAATACTCTACTGTGTGACTTTGCTATAATTTATTTATCTTTTTCCTTTTGATGAACATTAGAGTTGTTTTCAGTTTGGGGCATATGTCCAGTGCATAAGTGCTTGAGTGTCTACAGGATACATATTGTAGAGTGAGATTGCTGGTTTTTTTTTCCTTCTGGGATTATGATTATATGTATATTGAACCAATTCATTCATATCTTTTAACCTCTCTCTCTCTTTTTTTGTCTTTGTCTTATACTGACTCCCCCCACCCCCTTTTTATTGAATTTATTGAGGTTACATTAGTTTGGAATATTATACAGGTGCACAATTTCACAACACATGATTTGTACACTGTTTTAACCTCTCTTTTATATATTCTTTCTCCCTATATCTTTGGAATATATTCTTGTTACACTTTTTTTTTTTAATCTTTATTTTTTTGTTAATCCTTACCTGAGCATATTTTTCCATCGATTTTTAGAGAGAATGGAAGTGATGGGGAGGAACAGAGAGAGAAATATCAATGTGAGAGAGACACATCAATTGGTTGCTTCCCACATGCGCCATGACCAGGGCTGGGGATCGAGCCTACCATCGAGGTATGTGCCCTTGACCAGAATCAAACCCAGGATCCTTTAGTCTTCAGGCTGACACTCTATCCACTGAGCCAGACTGGCTACGGAATGGTTACAATTTTTAGATCTTTCTTCTAGTTTACTAATTCTAGTTTTAGCTGTGTCTGATCTGCTGTTTAAACCATCAATTGAGTTATTTCAATAATTAACTTTTCATTTTAAAAGTTCTATTTGGTTCTTTTCCAAATATACCTATTCATTTTTAATAGTTTCTCATTGTTTGCTCGTTCTTTATGGTACCACTTTTTATTTTTTTACTTATTATTATTTTTTAATTGATTTCAGAGAGGAAGGGAGAGGGAGCGAGAGATGGAAACATCAATGATGAGAGAGAATCATTGATCAGCTGCCTCCTGCACACCCCCTACTGGGGATGGAGTCTGCAACCCAGGCATGTGCCTTGACCAGAATTGAGCCCTGACCTCCTGGTTCATATAGGTCGATGCTCAACCACTGAGCCCTCTGGGCATGGTACCACTTTTAAATCTTTGAGTATTTAATATACATTGCTTTATATTATGTTAGCTTAGATCAGGAACCTCAGAATCAGGTCCTGAGATGAGAGTTCCTGGGCCAGGGTTTGATTAAGGAAATGCTCCCAGGAGAAGCCAGTTTGGTAGTGAGGGGACATGATAAGGAAGACAAAGAAACCAACTGAGGGCATGATTTCAGAAATGCAGGCTCATCAAGATTCCAGGGAAGTTCTGGAGCATGAAGTACTCTGTAAAGTCTGTCATCCCTGAAGGCAAGAGAGGTTAGCTTTCATATTCCCTTACCCATCATTGTCTAACAGCTGTCCTTGGTTGGTGTGAACTCCCAGGCACTTCCACTTCTCTGGTCTGGGTCCAGTCTACTGAAAGGTTGCTGGTTTGATCCTGGTCAGGGCACATGCTGGGGTTGTGGGCTCCATCCCTGGCAGGGGGCCTGCAGGAGGTAGCCAATAGATGTTTGCTCTCATGTTGATGTTTTTCTCTCTCTATCCTCTCCTTTCCACTCTCTCCAAAAATTAATAAAACTTTAAACAGTCATTGGGGGAATTTTAAATAAAATAATATTTTCCCGATTGACATATTCCTACTTTCTTTTTATTTTATTTAAAAAAATCTTTATTGTTGAAAGTATTACATATGTCCCTCTTTCCCCTGATTGACCTCTTCCAGCCCGCCCCCCAACCTTGCCCCAGGCCTTCACCACCCTATTGTCTGTGTCCAGGGGTTATGCATATATGCATGCAAGTTCTTTGGTTGATCTCTTCCCACCAATCCACCCTCCCCCACCTTCCTTCTGAAATTTGTCAATCTGATCCATGCTTCTATGTCTCTGGTTCTATTTTGTTCATCAATTTATTTTGTTTATTAGATTCTACATATGAGTGAGATCATGTGACACTTATCTTTTTATTTTTATTTTTATTTTTCGCTAAAAGTATTACAAAGG